CAAAATAAAACATTTGGATAAAAAATAAGGGGGGAGAGATGATTTAGTAAAACAATGTACACTGAAGTTTTATTTTTTTGATAGTTCATTCTTGTAACTGCAGAGGGATCATTTGGTCTTAACTCTATCCAGGATTTGGACAACTCCATATTGTACTCTATCAGCATTACATAGAATTTAAAAGAACTATGCATTTAAAAATATTAACCATTTAACTCAAAAATATTTTAGACATTTAGTGTTAATCTGGAGCTCTCTGTCCAGATTCAAATACTCTAAAATGATTAGACGACTAATAAATTCCTGTTTTTTAGTAGCATGGCAAGGGTTTCACCATAATAAGTTGAAAATCAAATTTAACTACGTGTTGTAATTTCCATTCATTGCTTTCTGGGGATCTAATTTGTGGAATATTAAATGCCAGAGAAATATTTAATGAAGAAAGAAATGATTTAGCAAAACTTATCTTCTTACTAGTTTAAATACTGTTCATATTTCATGCTTAAAGGAATATTGAAATGATGACTTTAAATCAATTTCATAGGCATTCTTATATTCTCAATTACTTTACATAGAATAACTTGGGATTAAACAGACTATTTAAAAATTATTTTTTACTAAAATCCTTCTATTAAGTAATAAACAGAATTAAAATAGTATAACAAAAGGAAGTTTTAAGAAACAACTCTAACATTGTATTCATGATTAAATTAAAATTCACAAAAATAAGAATCTTTTGCTTGTATTTAAATGTTCCTTTTAGTGCCTAAGAATTTGAACTTGTGGCTTTGATTCATACAGATATCATGATTGTTACAGAATATACTTTCTTTAGCAATGTTACTTATGTCTCTATTGTTTCCCTCAAAGATAAGGTAAACTGGTGTCAAAAATAGATGCAAAGATGTAGCCAATATCCAGATACTTCCATTCAAAATTAATATTAAAAAATGTATAGTAGAATGAAAGATTTTTCTGTTTTATGGTTGTTAACTTGTTATTTTCAAGGATTAGCAAGTGTAATCACCAAGAGTGTATCAGAATCTCAAAGAATGGCTCAGTGTATGAAACAAGGTCAGGAGCAATGACCAGTATATTCCAATAAATCAGTTTTTATTTTATTAACATTAAAATTATCTCCCTTATATTCTTATTTATTTCAGACATTTTTATAAATGATTTTAAAAAGTCTCATAGACTTTGCAATGGGTACTTTGTAATTAGTATGCTATAATGACTTTTCAAAACTTGCATTTTCTGGAATCTAAACAATTGAAGCCCAATTCATAGATGTCATCAAATGAAAAGGACATTGTAGTGGTATCTGATGTTTCTAAAAATAGTCTTCTGGCATAATATGATCATACAATGTCTTCTGAATGACCAAATAATATATTATATTTTGCAATTTTCACTGTTACTATTAGATATCTAATTCTTTGACATTGATCACTACTATGTAATACACATAAATGTCGGTTCAAAATTTCCAGTCAGCTAGAACAGCTTATTTTCCAAACATATTGGGTAAATAATGGATAAGATTTATTACTTAATGTGCCTGACATTTTCTTTCTGACATGGATCAATATATAGCATAAACAGCAAGAGACAAGTTCCATTTAACTAGCTGTATAGCTTTTTATAGGTTACTTAGTCTCTGATTTTTGGGTTCTCTCTGTAAAATGGGATTATTAATACCTGCCTCTATACTCTATACTCATAAGTAGCTATTTAAGGGCCCAAGTGAATAATTAAAGTTAAAATGAGGTGCAGTAGCATAAGGTATTATGATTATGATTATTATGGCAAATGTGATCTTTACTTTTATTAGCAGATAACCTGGAATGAACAAGGTGTCTGTGCCAAGTTGCAAAGGCTGAGCTGGAAATGAGTTAAATCCTGGAGTTGGCGTTCTTGATTTAGCATCCTGTACTTAAAGCTATGGTTTACCTTTGAAAATGTGGCTAGCTGGGGATTTTTTATGACATTTCATTTTTATCTTGAATAGATTTAATTTGGTCATCTCTAAGAGTTGTATGAATCCAAACAGGTAAAAATGTTATTTTCTATTTATTCACCCATAACTCAACAGACATTTTTTAAAGTACAAAACTGTGTAAAGTGTTTCTTTTATAGTAGTAAACAGGACCACTGGTTTGCAACAAAGTGGACACAAATGGCGTAGCAGTTGTTTTAGGGAAACAAGAGAGTACTGATAAGGCTTTATCTGCTGTATCTGAGGTTTAGCCATGGTTCCTTGGACTTGACAATATTTAACACTGCAAATGGATATCTTTTTTTAAATAAGAAACTTTTCTATTAAAACATTCAAGAGACTCTTTAAGAACCTTTGAAAAAAAGTTCTTACACTTTTATTTTCTACCTCTCATATCATTAGTTAAGATTTTAATAGTTTAGAAGAGCAGAGCTTTTTAACTACAAGCCAGAAATGATACTCTTAAATATTCACTTTACTTGTCTCTTGAAGAAAAATAAAAGAAACAACAGTTTTTTTCTAAAATACTTTTGACTGCAACCTTATTTTTTATTTAAAAAAAAAACCCTTTTCCTAGTCTGTACTTGGGGAAAGTTTTTTAAACGTTTCTTTCGAAGACTTCCTAATAAATGTGTGCAAATGCAATCTGCAAAACGAGTTTCTGTACACTTTACAAAGATCTTTCCTTACCCTCCACCCCGCCTCCCTCATTCTCCAAAAAAGCCACACTGCACCTGCCAAGAGTTTAGTCTGTCTCTTCGGAGGACGCAAGAGGTCGCCCCTCTCCCAGGATTGCCCCAGCAAGCTCCAGAGCGAAGGAGCAAGGAGCATCCCCAACCGCGGAAGCCCTCTCCCAGCCTCACTCCCACAGAATAATTTAATTTCAACCCAATTCCATCCACTCTCTCTTTTATCCCCACTATACAACCAGAGGGCGCCTTTGACTTGGCCTTGAGACATTAAGGCCAGTCGAAAAGCAGCTCGCAGGACTCCAGGATCCCTCTTCATCCAGCCTGGAAGTGCACCACCCCGCCGCTCCCGCAGCGCCACCCGCAGCTTCTCTGGCCGTTGTCCTAGCTGGAGGAGGTGGGCACGAATGATGGTCAGCTTTCTTTCGTGTACCTTACTTCAGAAACAGTGTCCCCCAAACTGCAGTCAGAGTCACCTCTAACACTAACGCTCAGGACCCTGTCATGCCCCAGAGGTTGGGTGGCTCCTGGCCCTGGGTTTCACAGTTGGTGAAGGAGGGAGTGGGCTGCTGGCGCTGAGTGGGCACCGGTGGGAAGAGCAAATGAAAGCAAGAGGCTGCGCTGGTGCCCAGCATCCTTTTCCCCAGAGACCTGCGACTCGATTCCCTCAGCCAGACCCCGCGAGGGGGGAAGGCGGGCACCTCCAGGAGCCAGGGCCAGGCTCGAGCCCCAGGCCGCTCCTTCTGTGAGGCGACCGCACAGCTGAGTGAAAGGGTGGGCGGAGAAGTTACGAAAAATACAAACCATTCAGAGGCCAAGAATAATAAATCGGATGCCGTGACATGTTTAACTTAGGCCCTCCTGCCTCCTGCAACGAGATTCTAGAGGCGGTGCGGCTGGGCCCGAGCCCCAGCCACGCTTTTGAAAGGCAATTTTCAGGTGAATCAAACTTTGCCCGAGGTAAGCGACACAAAGGAGCTTTGAGGTGACCCTCACGTCCAGGGGCAGGGCAGAGGCAAACAGCGGCGGAATAGCGATTTCTGCCTCTCCATCTCACATAAGCCCTTGCTGTGTCCGCCCTGCACCGCGCCTGCCCCGAGGAGCTCGGCGGGCAGGCTGTGGGAGAGGTCTGGGCGCGCGGGCCGGGCGCTGCTGAGAGTCGTTTGCACCCCGTGCACGGGAGGTCCGACGGGCCAAGGCGCTTGCACCGCCTTCTCTGCCCCACGAGCTCCGGGAAGGTTTCTCCCTCCTCTTATCCCACCAGTGCCCCCATTCCGGAGCCAGGGTTGCCCCTGCTCTGCTACTGGCGAGCGGACAGATGCCAGAGCATCCCCGGGCTACCTGGGAGCAGGGAGAGGTGCCATACTCGCGTCTGCCTCCTCATCTCTGGAAGCGCCGCCCTTCAGACAGACCAACTCGGTTGAAGGTGTCCTGCGGGTACCCGCTGAATCCCAACTAGGGCACTGTCTTAAGGCTTCACAAGCCAACCTTCCAAGGTACAGGAGTCAGGAGAAGGGGCAGCGTGGAGGCGAACCTGAGTCTTTTGGGGAGCCCTACCCGCAGTATGTGTCTGCCCCAGGGGACCCACTTAAACGTGCCTGAGGTGGTAAAAGCTCTCACGCGTGACAGGCAAAACTGTAACCGGAAACCTGGCACCTTCGACTCCCAGCGACCGGCTCCGCAGTCCTGAGACCCCGGGGGAGTGGGACAGCGAGTGGCTCCGCGAGCGCGCAGACCCGCGAACCCCGAACGCCCTGCGCACCCACAGGTTCCGCTCGTGCGAGGTCGGGGCAGGCGGCCACGCAGGCGTCCGCTCTCTGGTCCCCGGGCTGTAAGCCTGGTGCAGCGGGAGAGCCCGACCAGGTCTCTCCGCGCGAGGCGGCTACCCGAGGTGAGCGGCCGCCGCGGCCGCGCCTCCTCCGGCGTTTGCTCCGTGGTCAGGGCATCCCCGCGGGTCTGGCGTCTGGGCGGCCGGGGCCTCGAGGCCCCCGTCCCAGTATCGGGAAGGAAAGCACAAATCCCTAGGGCTAGTCTAACGAAGGACCGAACTTCTCCGGGAACCTTAAGTTACCACGGAATGGGAGCCACTCCAGCGTACGAACCGCCCGGCGCTGGCACGGGCGAGGATGCGCGGGAAGAGCCGGGCGCGAAGGGAGGCGTGAAGACGGAGCCTAAACCGTTACCTCCTCTCGGAGGCGCGGGGCGCAGGGCCGGAGGACCGCCGCCGCCGGGAGCCGCCTCGGCACGCGCAAAGCCACACGACAGGTGAACGCGGCGGGAGGGAGGAAACGCACAAAAAACCCTGCACTTACTTCTTCGCTGGCGCCTTCCTCGAGAGGCGTTTTGGCTGCCGATGTATTCCATAAAGTTCAAAATGATAAAAAACCAAGAAATCAGTCGCAAGTGCATAGTAACCCAGTAATGTTTCCCTTCCTTTTCTCCTTTTTCTTTTGATTGTTAATTATATTGAGTGTTTTAGAAATAAATGTAGGTGTTAGAGAGCAAAAGAGTGAGGACCGAAGCAGCGGACTTCTCCACTTCGATCCGACAGGCGTGCTGGATGGCAAGCGAAGAGGTCGGGCGGACAGGGACCAACTACTGTACTTTCAGATTGTCCGAGCCCTGAACTGCGGCGGCTCCGCGAGGGTGGCTGTCAACGCCGCGAGCGAGGGTTCCACGAGCAGCGAACGGCCTCGCCCGGGCGGCCGCAGGTAGCATGGTGCGCGGCGCGGCTGGCGGGCGGGATCCGGGCGGCGGCCCCCCGGGCTCAGAGGGCGCGGCGGCTGCGGCGGCAGCGGCGGGGGCCCCGGGCGCGCAGGGGAGCGGGCGCGGTCGGCAGCGCGGCCATGGCCAAGGGGCGGCGGAGAGACCCTGAGCTGCTTCTGCCGTTCGCAAGCAGGAGACGCTCCAGTGGTGGAGGCAGGGAGGAGGGAGGGAGGGAAGGACGGACGAACGGGGAGGGGAGGGGGATGGCTGCGGGGGGCGGGGGGAGCTCAGGGGCGGGGAAGGAAACTGCTGGAGCAACAACCCTGAGCGACCTCAATAACTTTCAATTTCAAGAGGGAAAGAGGGAGCTGGAAAAGTACAGGCGTTGTGATTTGGCAGCGGGACGGGAAGAGGCGCCTAAGGGGTCCCGGGTCTGCGGCGGAGCATCTCTGGACGCGGCAAAGAAGGCGAGAGAGCACGAGCTCGGGGGTGGAGGAGGCACAGTGTGCGGAGAAGAGCCCCTCAGAAGGGCAGCTCTCGCGGGGAGAGACGGCGCTCTCCCGCTGGGGAGTGCGGAGGCCGAAGGTCCAGCGGGCGCAAGACCCTCCGACCCCCACTTGCGAGTCCGGCTGGTCCCTGGCGCCCCCGTCCGGGCGTCCCCGGCTCTCCGGGGTGAGCGCCTCCGCTCCCGGCTCCTCGACCCCCAGCGCCGGCGCGCCACGACTGGCCCCGGGCAACTCGCTGCTCGCCCCCTTGGCGGATCGCTTAAGGGTTTCTGGCAGCGGACTCCTCAGTTTTCTAGAGCACCTCCTCTGCTACTTTTCTCCCTTTCTTCCTTTCAATAAAAGTAGCTGCAATTGGGCGCCCGACGGGTGGGGAGGAACCTCAGGGGCGCTGGCGGTTAGCTCGCCCGAGAGTTACCTGCCCGGCGAGGGTAGGACTCAGAGGCGTGGGCGCTCTGGACTGTCCATTTGGAAATTTAATTGTGCTACAGCTTTCCTCCAAAACGAGCCTTTGCTGAGGTTTTGGAAGGTTTTCCCTCGGGCTAGTTCTCTCCGTAGTCTGCTTGCCCTTGCTCGGCGCTCTCTTTTTGACCCTCAGTCTTCCAATCATCTTGAGAGGATCTGTTGTGCAACTTAGTTTCTCATCTGGGGGATTGGGAATGGTATTTGGAAAGACATTTCCCTGTCTTGGGGGGAGAACGGGAGGGTGCACTACTTCCTTCTGTTCCCAGAGCAGGTAGGGACCCCACTGCTGCGCAAAATAAGGTTCTCCTGCCCACTCAAGGTGGGAGAGCCCAGGGCCAGCACTCCTGAGCCGTGTACACCCTGGATGTTTAGTCAATGGGAGGCTTCGCACCTCTTTTATCCAGTAGCACAAGTCGATGAGCTTCCAGGAGTATTTAGTTGGAAGTCACAAGCCCCCAAAATGATTTTGTATAAACTTGTCCCACGTGCTAACGGAGTATCTGATATTAGTGCAATTTCCGAAGGACTACACTCTGTATGTAGCATTACAGTTTTACACAGGCCCAAACTTCTGAGGTCATTTTGAAAAAGCCCCTGATTCAGAGACACCTTGCTAATTTGTATATTCAAATAATTAGCTTTAGAAAACCGCTAATGCCTTGCAAGAAAATAAGTAAGATTTGTATTTCTCTCTTTCCTCCATTTGTGATTCCTATTACTGGATTGCCTTCAATTTGTGTGTCAATAAATAAGAGGAGAAAAAAAGGCTACCTTCTCTATCCATCCCATTTTGCAAGCTTGCAATGCTTCGAATTGTTGCATGTCTCTGAAGTATTCAGTGGTGTAGTTGTTACACATCCCAAAAGTAAGGGTGAAGATGAAATGTCCTGAATGCAAAAGGAAGGAACATGAAATATATATTCTTGTCAAGGTGTTAAAAGTTAGAATCTGAGAGACTGGCCTTTCCATGCTAATTCCTGAATTAAATATCATTTATTACTTTGCATACCTGTATTGGAATTCTAAAGGTAGGAATCATTTTCTTTAGATTTTATATTACAGGGAAGACAACAATCACATCAAGATTGTGGTTTGGGGATAATTTTATAAGAATTCCCATTGGTAACATTTTTCTCTGGTAGAACTGTATTTTCTATACATCACACACACACCCTGAACCCCCTCCCCCCAACACACACCACACTCCCCCTCCTTTATCTGTTGCATAATGTCCAGTTACAAATGACTGAGTTTATCACTTCGAACCAGAAAAGTAACAGATAACAGGACAATCCCTATAATGATTATCCAAAGAAGAAGCTACTCTATTTTTCTGTGCCCATCCCAGTCAACTTTGCTTTCCTTCTTAATACTTCAGATCCTGAATATCTGCACCATAAAATGTGGGGGATTTAAAGGCTGTGGGAGGCTCCCTTTGAAAAGGACTGCAGAGACAGCCTTTTTAATCCGGGATACTTGAGCCGGATGGGATGAGATTGCAAAAGGGATGTAAAAAAGCAATTTGGTGAACAACTTCAGGGAAATAAACACAAAGAAAGACATTTACTTTTCACTGTGTGTTGTGCAGACATATGTTAGTTGGATGGGAACAGGAATGACAGTATAAATAAATAAACAAACACAGTGAGAGGCTGCAGTTCCTGAGCCATCCCAGAAAAGAAGTACTAGATGCAGTGGGCAGGAAAAGCTTGTCAAGGAATAAGCGCTGTTCATAGGAAGCATAAGGAAAACATTAAAGAAATGGCGAGTGTATTCTTTCTCTCTTGACGCTATGCTTTAGAATAACTTTTTCCTGATCCATGTTACCATACTATTAAATGTGTGTTTACTTGCCTGGCCTGAGTCTTAAATTTCCTCAACTGTCCTAGAAGCTTATGGAAAGCATGCCATGGCCTATTTTGTGCAACATAGTATCTTCTTTTTTTTTTTTAATCAAGAAAACAACACTCACAGAAGCCTGTGGCTGTCAACAGATTCCAGGGCCTAAAGCAAGTTAAAAACCATAGGCTCAGCAGAGAAGTCAACATTTGCTTGTTATTTTTCTCCAGAAAACATTTAAGTCACAGGGAGCCTGAATAACCAGGAGTTTAAGAGAAGCCAGGAGATTAGAGTAGTTTTGGACAAAGATAGGGGATTAAACACATCCAGACTAGTTACTACAACTTCTCATCTCGTCTTTACCACCAACCTAACCAGGCAGTAACAATAGTAACAAGTTATTTTTGTCCATGGTAGCAGTGGCACTTTACGGAAAGAAAATGATTGTCATGTTGTTGAATCTATACTCAAATATGTGAAAGGCGGTGTGCTCCAGAAAGAGAGCAAGCCCAATAGTTCCTAATGGGATATAACTAGTAGTGATGAGAGATGTTTGGCAAAGTTCAGGCTGACATCAGTCATTATACCACAGAGCTAACATGCAGATCCTGAAAATGCTCAAGTCTCCAGTTACTCAGATCTGGAGGCATCTGAGTGTGTAAGTCAACCGTGGTACTGCTGGCGGTGGTCTGTGTAACTGACACAGCTAGAAGTCAGCGCTGAAATACAGAGCAGACAGCAGTATTTAAAAGCCATTGAAATGAGTAGCTGCAAGACAACTACTATTTTTGGAGACAGAAATAAAGAAGACAGAATTATTATAGCAATTTAAAACAATGATTAAATGGTTATATAGCACTAAGAAAATGAGAAAATCAAGACCCATGATGGATTACTTTCTGTCAACAAGAAAGAATGTTCTTCCTCCTGATGAAGTTATGGGACACTTATAAAATTGTGGTGAGCGCTGTCTGGTGTGCCTATTTTTAAAAACTTCTTTTTTTCAAAAATTCTTTGCTGGGCTCATTTTATTCTTTTTTTTTCTCTTTTTTTAAGTTTTTTTTTAATTGAAGTATAGTTAATATACAGTATTATGTTGGTTTCAAGTATACAATATGTGATTTGACAGTTACCTACATTATTAATGCTCACCCCAACTACTGTTGTTAGTATCTGTCAAACATAGAAAGATGTTACAGATTGATAGACTATTGAACTTCCTGGGCTCATTTTAAAAGTAAACATCCAACAGTACTTAATATAAAGAATTGAACACCCCAGAAAATTTTATTTGATTATACAGCTTTAATATTAATGAGGCTCTGTGTTGTAGGAAGAAAGGCACTAGACCAGCAATCTAGGCATCAAGGTGAGTCCTTGTTCTGTATATTGTTGTATTGTTGCATTTCAGATTTCTTTGTCTGATAAATGAAGAATTCAACTAAATCATCTCCAAAGTCCCTTTAGCTCTGCAAATAGTGTCAGTATATCCGAAGAAGAGAGACAGACTTATAATTTCAAATGTCAAAGCTATTTCTAGTTATGTGACATCACAGCTTTCACATCCAGAATTGCGTTTAATTGAATAGGTCCAGATTTAGAAATCTGCTTGCAAACTCATTCATTTTCTGGAAATTCCTAACCCATTACAAGAATCCTAGATGATGCTGGCCTAGCAAACTAAGTCCAGGACCAGCTTGATCTTTCTAGACGTCTGTAGACTTCAGGACAAGGAAAACACATTTTAGACCTCAGGTTCTGAACAGATGCCCAGAAAGAGTAGGGAAAAGGGACTTTTGTACCTCATGGAGGTACCACTCAATCTCTGACTGTTTTCAGGAATCATAGGTGAGGAAGGAACATGGATTTCACTGAGTGAGGACTTTCCTTTTTATTTTGTGTTATTCCTTCTTTTCCCTATTCTTATCTTTGGATGAGGATTTCTACCCATGTCTTCTTTGTGACAGGAAACTCTAAAGAAAGTCAACAGTAAAGCCTGAGTGGCTGTGGTCACAGCTTTTGATTGAGGGATTACTATCAAAGACATAAAAGTACTATAAGATATGGTGCAAGGCTAAATGAAGGATACTTTTAATAAACAATTTTTTTTGCAGTTGCTTTTGCATGTGTTATCTCAAAGCAGCCTCAGAACACTTAGTTCATGGATGAGAGAACTGGAGCTAGGAAAGTGAAGCTGCTTGTGTAAGCTTATACAGAAAGTATTCTGCTTATTTTACACTATCTCAACATCTATTTTCACCCTGCCCCCGCAAGATGTTGACTTCAATGGAGTAGCCAACAAAGCTTCCTTCATCTGGTTTCTGGCTGGGTTCTGTCACTGGCCCCAGCAGGAGATCAGGGCATGGCAGGAGAGAGTGATTCTGC